TAAACAATTAATTAACAAAATTACAATTAATTGACAATTTTATTCTATTTAACCAATTAAACATAATTAGCCTAATTAATTAACTAAACATAAGTAAAATCAACTTAATTAATTAGAAATCAATTCTAATTAAATTTAAATTGTAATTAATTAAGAAATTAACCTAACAATTAACAAAATTTAACAATTTAATAATTTAATCAACAAATTAGGCTAACTATTAACAAAAACTAACAATTTAACAAACAAATCAATAAAATAACAATTAAATATATACACAATTATACATCAAGCAATTAAACTTAAAATTAACCTAACAATTACAACAAATTACTCATTTTAATTAAGAAAATAAAAAAGAAAAAAAAACTTATCTAGCTCGGATGGAATTACACTAAGAGGAAGGAAGAACAAAATAAGATTTTTTAGGAGAAATCACCTTAGAGTGTGTGTGGATTGATTAAGAGTAGAGGAGCGGAGTTTGGTGGTGGCTTGGAAGGGAAGGAGTCCGGCAGTTGCTAGGCTGGAGAAGGAGAGGGAGAAGAAAATGGAGGAGGAGGAAGAAGTATGAGGTTTAATTAGGGATTGCAAAATAACGACAAACTCTATCCCCTCGCTTAAAAGCGACGGACACTTACATCCATCATTAATCCATCTCAAAATAGGCTTCTAATTTTTCACTCGTTGGTTGCTCATTTTTTTCATATATTGTGACGATTTTCCTTTCTCTAAATTATAAAGATTTGTCTTTTAGTGACGGATATTTTGTCGCTAAATCGAGACATTGAAATTACCAACGGATTTGTCATTCTGTCGATATCTTTCTTAGTAAATATGTTGCTAAACCATCTCTAAAGCGACATATTAGTCTTTGTTGCTCATAAACCGTTCGCTATTACATTATTATTCCATCCTTGTTTTCAACGAATACTATTTTGTCACTATTTTTTTACTATTTAATAATGGATAAAATTTCGTCTCTATTTGGTTTTTTTTTTTTTTTGTAGTGTTAGAGTAAATTGGAAATTTAATCTTGAAATATGAGATTTGATTATCTGTTCAAGGATTTCAATATTTAGTTAGGAAGATAGAAAATAAGAATATGAAAAATTGGGTCAATGTTTTCAAATTCCAAGAATTATTTAAAGAATGAAAAAAAAAGAAAGAGAAGTTATGGATCCCTGAGTCTATTATTATTTTTAGACTTTTAGTATACTTTCATTAGGATGGGATTTTTTTAATCGATCAAACTCTGTACATTATTCTTAAAAGAAATAAGAGTTTTTTTTTTTGAAAATAAAAGTTAATTTGGAGAAAATAGCTAAAGAGGCAAGTATTGATTCCAAAAACAACAAACATGGAATAAATTAATTTAATTTTACCAAAATCTAGATTAAAGTAATTTTTTTTAAAAAAAAACATGGCATGTAATTAATTACACTTTCTTAGTCTACATAAAAAGTCAAATGAGACTGTAACTTGAAAAGCAATGAAGAATTTTGTACTACATGACATATCCATCGTTCTATACTCTATTTATTTAAATAAAGCCATTATCAATTATCAATAAAACTAAAATAAAATATGATGTTACTATTTATTCATTATTTAAAATATTATTCATACACTCACAAAATTACTATTTTTTTTCACTATTCATGATAATTTTGTAACACTTTGGTCCTCAAAATTTCTATACCTTTTTTTTCAATTTCAAACTTTAATTATATTGTGATTTGGTCCTATTTTGTTTTAGTGTTTTTTGTTAATTATTTTTATTATTTAAAATTTACTACTTTAATTTGCCAATTTTTTAAAATTCTCTTTCTTTTTTCAATTTCAAACTTTAATTATATTGTGATTTGGTCCCGTTTTGTTTTAATGTTTTTTGTTAATTATTTTTATTAGTTAAAATTCACTATTTTAATTTATCATTTTGTTTTAATTCTCATTCAATTAATTTAAAATTATATTCACTGATATTTTTTTATTTATTTTTCTATATGTATGGATTTTGGAATAAAATTTTAGGACATAATTATTTTTTCTTTTGAAAAAGTAGATTTAGATAGTTTTTAAATTATAGTGGCATGATTAATATATATAATTTGTCTAAAATACATTTTTAGATTAAAAGTGTATTTCAAATAATTTTTTCTCAGTTTTGTTTAGAAAAAAATTAATTAATTAATAGTTGAAAGTCAAATTAATATAGTTTTTTATTTTAATATTATGCATTCTTTTGTAAATAAATATATAAAAATTAAATTCATATTTTTTCAAAACCCAATATTCTCATCAACATTAAATAAAAAAATTATTTGTTCAATTCTATGTAAGCTTTTAATAATTGTTATTTATATTTTTTGACACAATCTTATGAAATACTAAAGCTTTTTTTAAAAAATTTATTTAATTTTCTTTTTAGTTAATAATCCATGGATTAATAAGGATAAATCCTTTTTCTAAAAGAAAATTTATGAAAAACACAAATAAGAAATAGTTAAATTTTGATGATTAAAAAATTATAAATAAGTTTTTTCACCTTTGATTTTATATATCTTTATAGATTCACACCATAAAACGAGACTATCAAACTGAAATGATTTCTCTAAACAATTTTATGTATTTTATCCAACTTCCGAGCATAGCGCGAAAAAAAAACTAATGTGTACTAATTGATATATTTTATAAAAATTGATGTGTTTTCCAAAATCTCTTGAATCATAGCAATTTTAATGATAATTGTCGATTAATATACGTGGCTTCATTTAAGTGGCTTTTGTAGTATTGAAATAATTTATGTATAAATAAATGTATAAAGCTCAAGGAGTCTTTGGCTTGATTAAAAAAAAAATGTATACTATTTTCAAATGACATTTATGCCATGCCAAAATAATTGGTTTCGGGTAAATAAAAGTGCTGGTATCCAAAAAAATAATAATAATAATAATAATTAAATATACGATCAAATTATTGGAATATTATTAATTTTGCGTCCAAACTAATTTTATATCAATTTTATAATTACATTATTCTAATTTTATAAGTAAGAATTTTTGTTAGAATCACTTAAGAGAAAATGTAGTCTCTACAAAATGAATTAATTTCTTTAAAAAAAGAAAAAGAAAAAGAAAAGGAGAGAGTATAATTTGGATAGAAATATGAATTGAAAGTCTTAAAATTGGATGGATATTTTTAATTGAAAACCTCTAAAAATTTGAGGATGACATTAATATAAAAAATTATATGATAATAACATTCAATATATATTAAGGTTTGTAAAAAAAAAATTAAAGTAATGGGAGTGTCATTATAATTACCATGGGTTTATCAATGAAACCATAGACTATAAGAGTATTTTATTTTATTTTGTTATTTTTATCATGGAGTATGAGTATCACTATGTCATCCTTTTCCCTACCAAGTCAAACTAAGTAAGTTAACGATGCAATCAAGTTTGGTAAAATAGAACGTCAATTTTGAGTTGTCATAAAGAATCACATTTCTTTGACATAATGCAGCACTACTACCGATCAGGTTTGCATGTGTAAATCGCATGTCAAAAAGGGACGGGCCACTCTAGCTTTGCTTAAAACAATTATAATATTCACTAATCTATCCGTGGAATATGTTTTTAAAATCGTTTAGAATGGCGTAAAAACTAATCCGAAATTGTCTTTATCATTGGAAAAAATGTCCATCACTATCATCATTTTATAATGCTAAGTGTTTTGTTATGTTTTTAAGCCATAAAAGGCATCTAATAGGATGGTTTAAGAAATATTGATAAAAAGAAAAAAGAAATAGAATTTTTGCAGTCCAACCCCGAATCTTTGAATGAAGAATAAAATAAAAGTTAATGTGTACATACCATACCTTTATCACACTGTCCATTTCACCAACTTATCAGCCAATGATACCACATAGTGCCATCACATGATGCTTTGCATCTTTAAAAAGCCTTTGTTTTTTGTTTCTTACTTTCTTTCTTTTTTTTTTTTAAAAAAAGAATCAAATGGACAAAGGCACAATTCTCTGTTTCTCAATTTGTACCTTCTCTAAAGGACATTCAGTTTATGCTCCTCAGTTTGACTGCTTTTACTCACCGTGTTTATCATATGCCTCTACAAGAAACCCCTTTTTACAACTCCTTTTCAGATACCAAAATTCTGCCTTTTTTTTTCCGTATCATATGAGAGACCACAAATTAGAACTCACAACCCAAATCAAAACTGGGTTCAAGGCCTACTTTGCCCTGTATTTGCTGGGAAAAAAAGAAAAAAAAAAAGATTAAGGTGATGCTAGGTTCCACTTGATGCACCTGTTCATTAGCCTGTACAGCTTAGTAAAGAACAGGAACACATACAAGCACATTTTGTGTGCCAAATACCTTGCGATACTGTATCAGTGGGGTGCCTGTAGCCTTGTACTATATGCAGCGAGGGGAGGTTAAAAAAGGAAGATATTACAATCCTGACCATGGTGTCTCACGGTTGTTTAAAAGGTTTTTCAGGGACACCAACACTAGTTTAGCTTCTGAAACCATACTAGGAATGACTAAAGAAAAAAAATGGTGTCCTCCCAAACTTTCCATGAGGGAATAGGTACATGATTAAAGCCAAACCCTCGTTAGCATATAGTTAGAATACAAAACTGGAGTCATAAACTAAATTCACTTGACACCCCAAAATACAGGAGGAAGAAGAGGGTGGAATTTTATTTATTTTGTGTGTATCAAAGAAGTAACAGATTCTGAAGCCTTTCTCAGGTGTAAAAAAATTGAAAGGTGCAGTGAGCACTAGTAACTTCAAACAAAACTGTAATGCCACCAAGGTATAGTAAAGGAAAGAATTGCTAAATCAGTTTCTGTATCTCTAACTTCAATTTTCTAACACTTCAACTACTTGGCCTAAACTGTTGAATGAGCCCTTCAGTTTAAGTCAAACCTAACAGAGAAACTTCTAGCCTCTTTAATTTTTTTTTTTTTTGTAGTTCTTTCATCTCCTCCGTTTATACACCATCACTGTGCTTTCATTTGTTTCCTTCCCCTTATTCTTCCTAGCATAAGCTACATCTTCCCTAGCAGCCTCTCCCCCCACACCTTTTTCCTCAACTCTGTTGACATTTTCAATGAAATCTTCTTCATTGGATTTTTTCATATCCCCATATGAATATTTTTCCTCATCTTTTTCAGCAGTCTCCATCATTGCATCCAGCTGAACTTTTGTTAATACCTGAAGTAGCTCCAAAGGAGTAGATGCAGGATCAAGCTCCCAGCAACCCTCAGGAGCACTCTGACCTTCTTGACCTGTGAGCAGAACTGAAGGTACCTGGTGAGAAAACCTAAACATCTCCTCTCTTGGAATTGTCCTGGTTTTGCTTGGGTCAGGATGCTGGCGAAACACTGTCTTGAAACCAGCAACTTTAACAAGAGGAGCAACGGTAACCCCTTTGTCCTCTTTGTAGTCCTCAAGAACTTCAACCATGTCATATTTGTGTACGACTTCATCCGGCGTATGCTCATTCCAATTGGGGGACCAGTTTTTATAAAGAGCCCAAACATCTCCCTTTCCGGGATATATTTGAATGGCCCCTCTTGCACCTTTCACCCACTTCACCTTGTGAGAGAAGGAATTAAGAGAATCATTGGTTTCATGCTTACCTATCCAGAAGTCTCCACTGGTCTTGTAAAATCCAGAACCAATCCAATTTAATGGGCCCAATTCACGGTTGCTTTTGGTGTTAAGCCAACTAATCCGCATTTTGAAAGGCTTCCGTGATATCACACTGTGGATCATGGCATAATACCGAGGCATCCCATCATCATTATCATAAGCAGCCCAAATCTGGTTATCACCAAACGATTTCTCCGTGCGATCCTTGTCAAAATCATGAAAGTCTGGATCCGGAACACTCATTGCTAGCTGATCACTGATGTTTGTATCTGGATCATCATCAGCGTGGATTGGTGAAGGCTCAGTGGTGTGAGCTCTGCTCTTGGAATCCAGAAACTCTAGACATTCTTTTGCGTCAGCTTTTGCACCATTCATAGTAGCCTTCTGCTTTTCTCTTTCCTTCTTGATATCCTTTTCTGAAGTCTTTAGTACAGAAGGCACACTGCTCCATTCCTTAACCCTCTTGGAAATGTCCTTCTTTGCCTTCTCCATCAACAACTTTCTAATTTCTACTTGTAACACCTCTCTCGTGCTGTTAACTTTATGGTTGCCAGAAATGTTCCTCCTTCCTGCTTCTAAACTACTCTTTTGAGAACCAGATTCACCGACCCCTCCATTTCTGTTAGCCACCCGTTTTGCTGTCTCTCTTCCATCACTGTTTTCCCTTTGCTCATCAATGCTCCTTCTCTTCTTCAGCCTGTCTCCTTTCAGTACAGAACCGGAACCAGAACTGCTGAATCCAGAAGCTCCACCAGCAACTGTTTTTGTTTGCCGGCGAAGGGATTCCTCTCCATGTTTTCTTTTCAATTTCATGGATTTAGCACCTGATAATGTTGATGGTGCACTTCCAACAATGCCATTTTTAGAAAATACCACTGACTGAAACTTAGGTTCCATATTTGTGGAATTTTCAGTCCTTGTATGCCGAGTAGAATTCTGTCCTTGGTTGTAAGAAGCCCACATAGGGGCGGGGCCATTTCCATCTATGGATGGGGGAGATGTCTCAACACCGATGAATGGCCGATGACAGTTCTGACAAAGAAGATTGTGGTTGAGGTAAGTCCTAAGGTACTCAAATTGTGTTTTACATGCAGTACAGACTGTCCAAAAGGTATTGGGTTTGGAAAACAGGGGAGGGGGAGGAGGCATTGGGTGCATAGCACTCTTCTGGTTCCATGCACTGGGATTGTTATTGTTGGAGAGATCATGGGAACCATTCTGACCAGTCTGCACTGATGATTTCCAATTTGGAACGTTTTGATCCATATCTGTTACATTACGCTTCTGGTCATAGGCAATTCTCCTGTCTTTATTAGACAACAGATTCCAGGCTTCAGATATAATCTTAAATGCCCCATCAGCACCTACTGCTTTATTTTTATCAGGATGCAGAATAAGAGCCAGTTTCCTGAAATGTCTCCGGATTGTGTCATCATCTGCTGATGGTTCAACATCAAGGACTCTGTACCAGTCTACTAATCCATTTGTTCTGTTATCAGCAGCCAGGTGCACATCAAGAGTTGCTAAAAGTTGAGGAAGACCATCAAGTGCAGGATACAACTTTTGAGCCTTCAGTGCAAATCTTCTTGCCCCAGCAATGTCCCTCTCTGTAAACTTCTTCTCTGCGATCTCTTTGACTCTAAGTGCCTGCTCTTTATTACAATCCATTTTCAACAGGTCTCGCTATTGGCTATCCTTTGTAAGTATATGCCAATGCGATGTTGTTGATATCTTAATCACAGATATCTAAATCCAAAACCTGAAGTTCCCACATGCATCATCAAGAAACTGCCTTCAATTCGACAACCCTGATAAACCCAGAAAAGTAAAATAAAAAATAAGGAAACTATCTCTGCAAAGAAGGAAAAAATAAAGTCTGAATTCCTCACGTGCATCATCAAGATGCTGCCTTCAAATGGCAAGTCCTGCTACATAAAAAATGAATTCAAACAAGAAATCTATCTGGAAAAAAGTAAAATAAAGACCGAGATTCGCGCCGAATAACGCGGCCATGATTAATCAAAGACCACAAAGAAAAAAGCAGAATACCAAATGATTGCTTCTTGTGATCCATCAATTACATTAATTTAACACCTGCTGATCCTAATTCCTATAAATGATCCAACGGAATTACCGGAAAACATCCATGAAATTCCAACGAACTTCCAATATAAGCATAACGGATTCGAAAATACAACATACCAAAAAAGTATAATCACAATGCCATGCACGACTCTCACTGATGGTGATCCCCAACTAAAGAATCATGAAACAAATCAACAGTCGGTGATCAAACAGCAAAACCAACAATCTGCTTGATCACTAAGAAACAAAAACGAGAGAGCAAAACTCAAAGTCTCAACAAGTACCCCATTCAAATAACTCCCTCAGAAACTCCAAGTTTTCTTTACCTCCCTACTAACATAATGTCAGTTACTCACCATCCACTTCAAATGAACAAAACAACACAAACCTCAATCCACAACCAAACACAAACACCGTTACCTAACCAAAAACAATACAAACAAAAACTACTCACTTCTCAGATTGTCAAAAATTTACCAAGAACAAAATATACCCAATATTTAACACACAATGAGGTATGCAAATTCTAACAACAATAAGTAACTCATGTTCAAAGTTATATTCTTTACTAGATACCCACATAGTGTTTATCATTAAAAGACGATATAAACTACAAAAGCAATGATTAAAATTCCAAACAAAGCATAATGTAAGTGCAAATAAGCAAAAATATGAACAAAAATATCAAAAGCAGAGAAAAATAAAATTACCCATTTGCAGAAGCTTGAATCAAAGAGACCCCATTGATGAATTAGCTTCTCAATTATTGATTTTGGTCTCTGGATCAAAGAAAACAAAAATGAGGGTTTTGTTTGCCCTTCCGGGAGGCTGAGAATTTAGAATTCTCAAAGAAAAAAAAAATTACTACTTCTTGTATTAAATATATATATTATTATTTTTTTAGTGAAAAATAACCTGGATTTTCTGTTATTTATATGCATAAAATTGGCTTATGTGTGCATGGTTAAACCCTAACCATAGTTTGTTTTTAACTCTGGTTAACAGGATTGGCAGTTAGCTAAATAGGGAAAAAAAAAATTATTCTATTGTCCAGGACAGAAAAATAAAAAATAATAGTGTAAATTTGAGGACTAACATTTATCTTTTCATATTTTGCTTATATTTCTCAAATTTATTTTTGAAGTGAAGTTTTTAATTTTGTCTAATTTGTAATCTGCCAAGTTGAATATTCTAGATTATGTAACCTTTTTTTTTTGGTCCTCAATTTATAATTTATTGTGCCAAATCCAAGAAATTCAAAATTCAGAGTAAGTAATATCTGAAGTAATAAATTTAGTATAGCATGCAATAGATTTGCTTGGCCATATTAACATTTTTAAATTCTTTTGTTGGAAATGCACTGATTGCTCATCCAAATATGGTAAATATGCTTGCCTTAATTAGCTGGCAGGATTTGAGTCTCAGATTTTCTTGTTAATTTTTGCTTTGTTATTTCCTTCTTATTGGAAATTTCACATGTTCAAGCAAAATGTGATAGATAGATTGGCTCGGTAATTTTTGTTGTTAAAGGTTGTATCTATCCATTATTTCATTACCAATCGAGACCAGATTTTGCTCAGCAATGAGAATCCAATTCTAGATTTGACTGTAATTACTTGAAATGAAGGATCATAATCCAGCAATTATTGGCATTTTCTATCTTTGTACTTGGTAAAACAAGAGATGCATGAATGATAGATAACGAGAAATTCAACTTGAGTGAACTTTGCATGACTCACAAATTATAAGTTTTGAGTATTTCAATATAGAATACTATCATTACAACTCTTATGTTGTGAAAAAATCTACTTTTGCTCAACCAGAGTTGCTTTCTGCTGCTTCCTTATCAGCTAAATATTGGCTATTTGCTGCTGAAATCAGACATGTTGGTTCTTCAGTCAAGTCCAGCATGAAAAAAAAAAAAAAAAAAAAAAAAACGCTAGAATGATAATTAGATGTGAGGTTATAAGCTATAAACATGCATACGGGAAAGCAGCTTGTAATACTAATCTTCATCAACCATGGTTTTCTTGTCATCAAAGCAACCTGTAGAGGTTGCGGGGTAGCTAGTAAGCGATACTAGAGAGTGCAGAGTTGTTTTTCGATGGAGTAGTTCTTTCATTCAACAATTGAAGATCCGAACGCTCCATTTCCATACTTTGAAAGACCAAACACTGGTTATCTGTATGGAAACATATAATAGAAACACGAGGCTAAACATCATGGATTTTAATGCAAAACCTTTTTGTCTGTAACCCGCAGGTTCAGTTTTCAGAATTTGGAATGGTTAACTGTAAAGACAGAGAAAATGGAAGACAGTAGTAAGCCAATCAGTTCAAAATCCAGTGAAAGTTTTTGTTTTACTGAATCTCATCAAATCTCATATTGAAATCCTACCCTTTTCCTAAGCTTTCTCATAATCAATATGCAAAATCCGCAGTAAAAACAAGGCTATTATAGCTCAATGCATTCTTTGGTCTAAATATATCAGAACTCAAATGTTCATATAGATTGCAGGCCTAAAGCAGAAGTCGTGGTTCTAGTTTGATAAGACAAATATATCAGACTATCTGTAGCTTTCATCAGAATCAACTGCATCGTTTCAAAGCTACATGCCATTGAAAATTAATACCAGGAAGGAAACTCAAACATAAAAAGAAGAGCAAAATAGATGGAAAATATTTATCATGTAATAATTCTGATTTGATTTCACCAAGTATACAATGAATCACCTAACTTACAAAATGAATACAAAGCATGATGCTGGCTTATGATCTGCAGATGAAACAAATATCCTGCAGATCCAGGAAGAAACTGTGGTTGGATACGAATCAACCACTCATAAAAAGTAGCTCCCGAAAAAGCAAGGAATTCAGACAAGTTCAGGATAATTCAACGATGACATTATATTCAGAATAATTCAAATGAATACTTTCCTGGGTGTGGCTCTATACTTTCTGGGGGTAACAAGGGTGGTAAATTGTATGCTTTTTCTTTGCTCAGCAGATTCCCTGGCATATGACTAGTGGTGAAAACCATATGCAAATGAAAAGAGATTTGCAGTTGCTTCTCTTGCAACTCAAACAAGATTATTTCCATAAAGCTGAGCATACACACCCTTAGTCCGATGAACCACGATCAAACTCAAGATCATTGCAATAAGGCAAAGACCTGACATGAGCCCACAAGTAAGAGAATAACATTCGAGGCCCAGACAAGTAAGTGATTTCTCCTCCTGGAGATGTTTTGCAAGAAATGATCCAGAATCTACATGCTGGAGGCCAGCTTGTTTCCTTGCATAGTGATCATATATACCACTGGCAATCACACCAGAGAATATAAGAGAACCAGCCGGGCTTGAAAGTGTAAGAAAATTATACAGCGCACCAAAACTCTTCAAGCCAAAAAGCTCAGAAGCTGAGGCAGGCACAATGGCCCAATGAGCACCATATCCAAGTCCTATAAAAATGCTTACAACATAAATTTCTCCAGGCCAGCCCATAGCATAGTACAAGAGTGCAATTGCCATGACAACCTGAACCACAGCCATGGCCACTGGTCTTGGGTAGGCATATTTTCTGGAAAAATAACAAGATGGAAAAACAGGATTAATATGAGTGAGAAAGTTAGTGAATCTGTGATTTTGAATGAACTAAATCAGGTCAAACTATTTTTCACCTAATGATAGCTTCTGAGAAGTAACCACCGCCAACACGACCAAGAAAGTTCCAAATGCTAATCATGGAAACGAATATACTTGTATGATCATAACCCAGAGATTGACACATTTGCCCCAGATTATCAATAACCGTCAAACCAGAACCAGAAGCCAGTACTAGGGAGAAAAACATAAGCAAAAAATCTGCCTTTATTAATGCCTGCATTAATGTGAAATCCTCTCCTCGACGTGGGCCTTTCCTTCTCTTGACCCTCACTGCTCCTTCTGCAGCTGCTTGAAAAAGTTTAGCTTGCAAATGTGCAATTCGTCTATGTCTTTCTGTTGATTGAAGTGATTCCACTTCTGCCGGCTTCTCATCTTCAGCCTCACTTAGAATGAAACTTCCACCTATTTGCAGCTCAGAATTACTGGACACTTGTTTATCTGTCTCAGGAAGAAGGTTCTCATCCACCGGATGTCTTGGTTCCGAGTAGAAAGCCAATATAACAGGTATTATAATAGGAAGCAATAGTAGAATGATCAGAACTGCCGCAAGTACTGTGAGCAAAGTTTGATTCAGATTAACTACATCCTCAAGTATCAAGACTCCCAATAAATAAGCTGCTAGAACGAGGCAAACACTGTAGGTAAATAAGAAGCATGAATTATCCGTTGACCTAGCTTGTCTGTGACCTCTTACAGGTCTTACAATGAACATTATAGCAATTACAACCATGGATGGCCCAACTGCAATCATGAAAAGCAGCGATGCTTCATCAGGGGAATTGATAATAGCATAAATCTGAGTCAGAATTGCACCACTCAACCCAGCAAATCCCTTCAGTATCCCAACAACAGGGCCACGATTTTTAGGGAAGTTCTGCACACATGACACTAGAGCTACTGTATTGAAGTATGTCTCACCATTTGTACCTACAAATATAGCAACACAAAGCTGCGGACCAGAATTTTGTTAATATTCCTGAACAAGTGATAATTAACCAAATAGCAAATAAATTCTCAACTAAAAAAAATAAAAATAAAACCCATATTAACTCAACAATTCGGATTTATGTGATTCGTAATCAAAGGGTACTTCCTGGCTGCAAAACAGAAATAATGCTATGTCCTAACTATCTTCAGCATACATCTAGCTTCTCCTTAGGGATCTAAAAACAGAAAAGTCACAGAGTTAGACACATAGGCAGAAGAATTCACACCAGCAGATCTGTTCATTAAGTGCTTCCTTTCTTTTCTCAACGCAAAATGAGGAACCCCTTTAGGTCATTGTCAATACCAGAAAAAAGAAATAACAGATGTTTTCAGCATTTTAATTATTAGATGATTACGAAGTCACGCCGTTCAGAAAATACAAGAAAGAAGATTTTGTAGAATCACAATATAACTCCACCAAGCTTCACACTTATAACCTTTACTCATTCTTGAGAAAATGGGAAAAGACATTCCAAAATTTTCTTGTTAGTGCTGTGTGGTCTATTATTTGAAACGAAGTCAAGAATTGGGTATAACCTTTCTTTTCGCATAAAAAAAATAAAAAAAATAAAAAACGCAACTAATATGAGCACAGAAGGCAAGAGGGAAAAGCACCAAAATAGAAATGACCGGCTTGTTCTGTCATTTAATTGAAAACGAAAATCACTTGGAAACTTTAAGAATAGTCAGGCACTGAGTAAAATCACTAAAATCCCTCTACTTTGGTGTTTTCCACTACTTTTTAGAATTCAGCTTGTCAGGGAAAAACCAAGGTTGGAGGATAAGTTGCAGAGCAAAATACACAATCAGATCACCATACATAATCTCAAAGTTTAAAGCACAAACAATTCAATTCATTCTTGAGTTTATATCATGAAAACTGACAAGAAGCCAACAAGTAGATAATAAATTTAAAGGGGAGGCAAAGCCAAGCTGTGAAAGTGAAAGTGAAAAGAAACAAATAATACTCAGAAAATCTCCAATCTTGTCATGTTGCTGATAGGAGATGATAGAATTTAGATCAATAGGCAAAACTATGACCTAAATTAACTCGGGTTTTGAATTTTATGACAACTTTTCTGAATTGGGACGAGGCTCAGCTGAGAAAAAGGGATATTTATCTTGAGGTCCCATCTGATCATGATTTTGATTTCACGTCGTTTTAACCTTTCACCCATAAACCAAATTAACAATCACGTGGAACTGTAAGACATGGTTGAGATTTCTATAATGGTATAAGAATTGATCCAATGAACCAGCAGCTTAACAAGACTAATTCGTGGAGATAGATCATATATCTCTGTTGAAAGCACTAAAAGTAAGCTTGATGTTGTAGCTAGATCATCACCATCACCATCAGCATCATCATTCATCACTCTAAACCTAACAACAATCAAGATTGTCCAAAATCCCAAGAGAGAGCACAATTTTCTCATAAGCCAAAAGGGATTAACACAGCAAAATCAAAATCTAATCACAGGCAGCCAAACCAGAAATCCAATAAACAAACTTTCAAGAAACTCTAGACCAAAAACACAGACAAACATATGAAAATTAAAAAAGAAGGCCTTTTTTTCTATATAAATCAGAACACAGATTGAGTAACAGAAACAAATAATTAAACTCACCACCCAGAGAGGCAAAGCAGGCAATTTCTGTGTAACAATAAGCCAAACCAAGCCATACCCAACAAAGTTCTGCACGGCTCCAATAAAACTAACAGCCCAAAAAGGCAAAACCTCACATAAACTCCCAGCCACAAGTCCAATGCTATCACCCAAGTCCTTAGCCACGCCTAGCATAGCTACCTGCCTCTGGTTGTAACCCATGGTGCTCTTGATCACTGGTGATATACTCCCAAACAAGTATCCAATCCCAGCACACGACTGAACCCACATTGCACACACAAAAACCAGCCATCTGTCATTAACAAAGACCTTCAATCTCTCATACAAACGTTGCATCATCATGTACTAAGACTAAGATTAGGACCCCAAAAGAGGAGGCTTAATTTTCAACGAAATATGGGATCTTGAAGGTATTAATTATGAGATAGGTAGCGGTTGTTCTTGATCTTGAAAAATATATCAATAAGTTAATATATGATAAGTGGTGGTAGAACTGGACAATTGCTTATTTGTTTTGCTTGCTTGGAAATCGAATGCGAAACTGAAAAGGATGCTCTAAACACTGACTTTCTTTCTTGGTTTTGAAAACATAAATACCATCAGTTGATGTTGTGTGTATGATATTTTCCTACGGAATGGCTAGCTCATCATAAAAAAATAAAAATATCACAATAATAGTTGGAATCAGATTTCTGAATGGCAATACTAATAATATTTAAGTGGGGTACATAATTATTCAGGTTGGAGATGAAAGGATGAGGATTGCTTCAGTTTAGAACAGTAGATTGCAATGCATTGAATGTTGACAGCAGGTGCATCAGTGATCACTCGTGCAACTGAGTCACCTACACATGGGATGGGATATCAGTGATCTCCTTTTTCATTTCTCATTTCTTTTTTCTTTTTCAGAAACTTGTTTATTACCGTTGTTGGTTTTCTTGAAAAATCCTACCTTAATCTTTTGACAGGACCATTTCCCTTTTATTTAATTGCACGAAGTGCCAACAAAGCACCCTGACTCCAAAATTAATGCCATATTATATAATAAGTAGGACGACATATCTACGGCACATCCATTGATAAGAACTAAGAAGTGACAAGTTTTTGGGAACGTGCTGGCAAGTTTTGTCGTCGGTCAGTATGTTCAGATTATACGAGTTGGATACCATGTGGTCAGATATATATACATAGAAGATCAATAATTTATATGATGTAATATGAATAAATTTTTTTTTATAATTAATATAAATTAATTTTAGAAGATAAAAAAAGAATAAATAACAAATAATTGAGGTTATATGTACAAATAAATAATTAATTTATAACAAAATTAATGATATATATTTTTTAATTATTTTATTTAAAAATATTAATTTTAGAATATAAAAAATTATAAATTATAAATAATTAGTATTATGTATGCAGATAAATAATTAATTTTTAAAAAAACTAATTATATATATGCGTGTGTATTTGTTTTCATATTGTTACTTGTTTTTTTATTCTTTCTCTATTTATTAAAACAAAAAATAGAACCATTGATATAGCAAAAAGGAAAAAAAATATTTTTTGAATCAAAGAAATTAATAGTATTATATATGTAAATATATAATTAATTTTCAACAAAATTATATATATATTAAGAGCATACTAAGTAGATTTCGAGTATTTAGTATAAGCAATTTTTTTTAAAAAAAAAACATCTAGGTTGTATAAAATACATTAAAGTCAATAAATTGAAATAAAAACTACTACAAATTTGATTTTTATAAATCTTACTTCTTAATTTCTTATGAAAAAGATTCTTAAATTGTAAATTAAATAATAAATTAGTTCATTTTGTTTTGAAAAGTGAATGAATTATTTTTTTTATTAGTATTCACCATGAATAATATATATTTTTTTTATTTTTAAAAGTCTTTTTTTTCATATTTGTTTCCTATATTTTTTAGTCTTTCTCTGTTTCTTAAAATAAAAAATAAAAACATTGAAATAGCAACAAGGACAAAAAAATAGTTTTTGAACCAAAGGGACTAATAACGTTATATTTGTAGATAAATAATCAATTTTAAACAAAACTAAAAAAATAAATCATATTTATCAAGAAATAAAAGTTCATAAAAAAATTAAATTTGATGAGAATTTTATGATAATCGACAAATTTAAGAGATTAATTTTAATCAATAAAAAAATATAATTCGATATATGTGTTAGTTTTAAAATTTAAAAACATAAAAGGCCAAAAATATTTTTTTAAAATATGAGAAATAAAAAGTGTATTTTGAAAAAAAAAAAAAGTGAGGTAAAAATAGACTAAATTAAAAACATGAGATTTCAAAATATTTTTAAAAATATATTTTGAAAACATAAATGATAAAAAAAAATGAAGTGTAAAATTTTAAAATAAATGAAAAAACTATCAGGAAATCACAAAAATACTTTTGTAGAAAATCAAAAACACTTTACTAAAATCCAAAAGAGAGCCTTGGTTTAAAAAAAAAAGTCAGCACAGTAAAACGGATGGAGAAGAAAAAAAAACAAAAGAGGGCCTTAGAGAAAAAAAAAAAAGCTGGTGGAAGTAACTCGATAGATATTAATGTTTAATATATTTAAAAAAATATTTTCCGAATACATATTCAAAACATAAACATAGAGCATATGTTGATGAAATAACTTGATAGATATTAATGTTTAATATATTTTTTAAAAGAGATCTCGAATTTAAACATATATTTTGTTAAAAATAAAAATAGAGGGATACAAATCCGTGGCTAATTGTTTTTTTTTTTAATATATTTATTGTTGTTATTATTATTAGTTTTTAATAAAAATAGAAGGAAACTTAGGTTTCTTCCACAAAATTACATCATGCTCTAACTGAAATAGCTAAACTAGGTAGAACCTAGAAGATGTGCAACTCTGTCTCATTGTCAGCGAGTATGAAAGAGAGAGAATTCTTTAAAGCTGCTGTCTCCTGCTACCAACCCCAGAGACTAATCATCACATAGAGATTTGTTAGATTAAAGATTTAAATGAAGACCAAAAACATGATTACTTGAGTATCTAACTTTCCTACGTAATTTTTCTTTTTCTTGAAACCTCAATCATAATTACGTGGGCACCCTAATTTTTTTTTATTTTTTATGGCATAAATAAATACCCAGTTCTTTTTATGCTGAAAAATTGACAATAGATCCAAAAAATTCTATTTAAAAAAAAAAAAGAAAAAAAGAAAGAAAAAGAATCAATCAAGCAATGACAAACTGGTATAATTATATTATATGCTAGCATACAACAAAAAGTCGCATGGAAAATGAGAATTAATATAATAACAGCAAGTCATCTCTCTCTCTGTCTCTCTTTCTGCAACTCCTTCCATGATTAATTGGTGGTAACATCAATTAACCAAATGGAAGTGGACATATACATAAAAATAAAGTGTGATCCTAATACTCAGGAATCCTGCAGTTTTAATAGGTTCTGAAAATATTAATTATACTCTTCCTATAATACCAATATTTTTGCTATGTCATAAACTATGTATTTATACAGTCATCAGCTACATAGAGTTTCTTTCTTTGCAAAATATATGAATTAATATAAAGCATCAGCAATATCTCGGAAATCTTTCTTGTTTTAAACATGCTTGAAGCTGGAAACATTGAAAACAACAGGGCACAACGGGGACCAGCTTGTGACAACTTTTATGAAGCATTTACTGATAAAAACTCCAAGTAAATGAACATAACCCAGCTACTTGTTTTCGATTTTTGTTCCTTACATGGAATAACCATCAGATGAAAAATCTATACTCAGAGCCATAGGCTGTGTAGCAAGTGTTTTTCTTCTCGTCTTATCATACTGATTACAATAAGAAAAGAATAATACATATATTTTTTTGTATTTACTACTTATATAGTTGGGATATGGATGACTAGTTTAAAAACTATCTCAAATTATAATTTATTCTCTATGTTTTTATTTATTTATGATTTTGTATGTTATTTCTTCTATTTTAATTTGAAAACTATAATTTGGTCTCTCGATTAAAGTTGAATGGTAAATCTTTTGAAATTTCTAAATTACCTTTTTTAAATGTATTATTAATTATTTCCATTATAAGCGATATTGAAAATTTTAGTTCAAAATGAAGGATATTTTAGAGCAAACGAAAAATTAAATTATCATGAAAAGAAATTTTATATAACTTAAGAGTCATTTTCAACTCTTACTTTTAATAGAGAAATAGATACAAAGAGAAGATAAAAAATTAAAAAAAAAATTATATAAAAATATTTTTTTATTATTTTGATGGATCAGACAAAATAGATACAATAGTTATTTTATAAATCTATTTTTAAATAAATAAATAGGTAAAATAAAAAAAATGAGAATTAATTGATAATTTATTCAAAAACAAACATATAAGGATAACTTATATCCACGTATACCTTTCCTGAGCTTTTGTGCTGTACAGCTCAGGCGTGGTCCCGTACCTCTTATGAATCATGGGTGTGAAAATAAATACGCAGCAGAATTAATTTTCTCACAAATAAAAAGTTAAAAAGTTGCGGATAACCAATCATTTCAATACAGATATTTAGATATGTGGTATTTTAGCCTTCCTCCAATACCTCAATTATCCTTCTCTATTAGCAGCCCGATTTGTGAGAGGAACTACCTTGAAGAGTTTCGGGTTCTTGCGAACATAACTGCTCTTCCTGTCCTGAATGATAACCACCATGTTTTAGCCGACAAAAATTGTTTTTCCTTCCTTACCTGCTAAATTCTGTCTAATTAGCCCAACATTATGACTTAAACAAACCGCTAATTTAGAAATTTTTGCTAATGTTAGATTGGCTTGACATTTGCAGTTGACAAGTCCAGTTTTTAACCTCCAATAAGAGGAAGGGTTTCCTTGCTTCTTGTTTACATAATTAGGTACCCTCAATAATTGAAAAAAATACTTTCCCACTTTCTTTCAGTAAATATCATCACCTGCTAGACCATTAAGTTTCCATGAAATTATTGAGCATTGACAATTAAGGCCAATTCTGAGCCAATTATTGAGCATTGAAAAGATTTATGACTACATTAGCAAATGCAAATCTCTTTAGACTACGCATCATATAATGGAACATTGAGTAACACAAGAATCCATTCGGATCATGGACGAAACTACAAATCTCCTTAAACTAGCATTGATGAGCATACCATGATAGGACATGATAGATCAAATATTTATTTAATAAGAATAGATTATTAGAATTAACTTTATCTAATCAAGGATAACCATGATATTTTTATATTATCCTTAAAAACGTCAATATTAAAGGTATTTGTCCATCAAACGAACAATAGATTCTCATGGCATTAAAAAAATAGATCATTTTATTTCTCTTTATATACGATTTGGCAAAACTCTTGAACATGAAATTATGTCAATTATTGAGCATTGAAAAGATTTAGACATTGAACGTTTTTACAAGTTTTGTTTTCATCATTTCTCCTTATTATAATTTTTTTTTGGTCAAGAATGGAATAATATTTTTCGTATATTCCTTGTTCATATAAGCCTCCCTATGATTGAACATGAGAAAAATCAAACTAAGGTGACAGTGACAATTGCCCACCTCTCAGAAAGGAAGAAAAGTATAGCTTGTGCTTTCAAAACATTTTAGCCACACGCAACTTCTAACATTTATCAAAGTAATACTGTACAATTTTTTCAAAACCTATGTAACTGTCACATGAGACATGACCATGGACGCGCATTACAAACATTCAAGCAAGAAATGATCTTTACCAAGTTTGGAGTTATATCCCCTCTATTGTGACTGAACTTTAGTCGTGACATGTGCCATTTCTAGCACTGGATAATCTTACAAGTTACGTTTCTTTTTTAAACATATCGTTCACCTGCATTCTGCATAATGGCTTGTAATCACAACTGCATTCCAAATGATCTTTCATATTTTGCTGCCTCGTCATGCACTTTTTTCTTCCACTTAAGAGGTTCGAATCTCATTTCTAATCAATGCTAAACACAGGTGTTTTTGATTTGTCACTTGTTCTATAATGTAAGTTCTAATAACACTTGACAGTGGAAGCAGGCTGTTTTCGCTTCTTCGTCTCCCTCTTTCAGCTAGAAATGTGTAGGCAAGATGTCTGCATGTTATGAACCTCTGATATGTCATCGTAGAAGCCTTCCTTAATTTCCTATTCATATAGTCATTTTATCTCGCTTCTAATATGAATTGTCAAGTTGAGAAGGCATTATTCTTTATTAGGACCATCAAAACTCCTTGCGATCCAGTAGTTACATTTGTAAATGTTGGTCCAAAATGTTTTCCATCATGATGGTTTTCAAGTTGATCATATCATACCACAGATTCTCCATCAAAATTCCTAAAATTAAGTGCTTAAACAAGTCTAAGAGTTTATGAATTCGAATTCTTACGTTGTTCTGCTAAATAACAATCAGTCAGAGCCAATGAACACCAGATTAAGGTTTTCCACTGATATCCTTGACGACATCCACAAATTGAGGAAGCATACTCAAAGCAAGGACTAAATAAGTAAGCATTTATAAAAACTAGATTCATGAATATGGTGATTGAAAAATGACTAAATTTAATTATCTTGTTGCTCAGGATATATAACATAATCTTCTAATCCATGGAATCGAAGCTTGGAGCATACCAGCCTAATTCATCCAAGATTTTCTTCATTCTTTCGTCCTGTCCTTTTGAATCCCCCAAGGCTGTTGTGAATGGGTACACATAGGTTACTTTTGTGGCCATACACCTATACGAAACTACATCTCCTCTTACCAAAAACTCAAGCACATCCGGATCAAACCCTCCATCAACTTCAGCTTGTAAATATTGGCCTGAGAGGACCAAAGAAATGACTCGTAGAAATTAAAATGAGCATCAAACAATGCACCTATTTTCACATTCATATCGAATGCTTGATGAAGTAAATTATTGGCCTAAAGTTTTTGTATCCCTTTGGTCCTGTTCTTTCTCCCCTTGGTCATAGTGTTCAAAGTCTTTCGAAAGTTGTCACATAATATGGTTGCACATACATGGTGTAGATGTACCAGTTTACAAATTCAGTTTGTAGTCTAATTACCATTTGGGGTATCTTCAATGACTTGTATCTTGGCATTTCTCTGCGTTTTCAGGATTGCTTCCTCCAACTTCTGCACAAAATTATAAACCAAGCAAGTTTAAATTACACTGAAGCTGTACAATTTAGCCCCATAGCAGATAATTTCTTTAAAACCTGAATCGCATTCTCTGTAGCATTCTCAGGAATCATCCATGGGAATGCAAATGATGAAGATTGCGGATTTGTGGAAACACAACCTGGGTTTGTAGATGGGCAAGGCCTAATTTTCCTGCAAGAGCAGGAAATTGCACAAAGTCAAGATAACAAAGCCATATAAACCATACACAGTTAGCTCCATAAAGGAGAACAAGCAAAGGCCCTTTGAAGAACAAATGAAGTCTCATTAACATACCCATTTTCTAGTCCAATCTGCAAGTTCTTGGATTGAGAAAATGGGGTTGTAGGAGAGATAAGGGGAGGTGGAGAATTAAGAGAAGGGATGGCCAAGGAAGGCAATGGAGAGTTTAAGGTTACAGTGAGGGCTAAGGAGATGAGATTGGTAAAGAGAATGGGTTTTGGAGTAATGTTTTGTGAAGTAAAATTTGTGATTTTGGAGGTTGAAGGATGTGGAGGGAGAACATGACCAACCAAACTCATTTTTGTGAAGTTTGTTATCCTTTCCTTTTTCCAGCATTTGATGCTGTCTCTCTGCCACAAAAGACCAAAATTTGTTGTGGAATCACATTAACAGAAGATTAGATATTAAAATCAACACAGCTACCGCAACAAACGTCGATATGTCCGAGTGGTTAAGGAGACAGACTTGAAATCTGTTGGGCTTCGCCCGCGCAGGTTCGAACCCTGCTGTCGACGTTTTTCAATTTCCTACCCGTTTTGATCTGGTAAACTATATATTGACACTTATAGTGTATTTAGTATTTCACATCGATCCCTATCTCTTTTATTTTTTCAATTTCAAAAGGTTCAATATGATTCCAAATTCATTTAATAGTACGTGGCCCATCTTTTAATTCTTTTATGAATTTTTTTTATATAGTTTTAAGAGTTTTAATAGAATATTTTGTAAGGAAACAATTTAGAAATAAAGATAATTTAGAATATTCAAGAAAAAAACAAAAGGTAGAGAACAATAAAAAAAAAACACACAAGGGAGAGATTGAATTTTCTAAATGGGGTGCATTATTTTAAAATTTTAATTTAAAAATAATGGTGTTTTATGGTGATGATTTAAATGAATTTTTTTATTTTTTTAAGAAGAATAAAAACCAATTAATAAAATAATTTTTTATTATAATCTATATTATTTTTATGGTTTTTATTATTATCAAATGTCATTGTATATGCTAATAGATGCATAATAAAAGTTCTAACACATTAGAATAAAACAAGTTTAGAAGTTTATAATTAAACGGATTACAAAGGAGGAGATATGGAGGAGTTATAAGGGATTTGGTTCAATGAATGCATAGTATTTATTTTATTTTATTTTATTTTTTGTCAATAAAAAGCAACAAGCATAAGCTTTGCAATGAGTATAACCATTTTTATATCAGAAGACTAAGGGTACATAAGAGTCTTTATAAGTGGAGAGTTTTGATAGTAATTTTAATATTTATAAATGTTTCTCTTTCTCTCCTTCAAAACAGAAAGTGCTGCTTTTTGCAAAGTTTAAGCATAAATTCAGAAGTCTCATACAAATGGTATTAATAAATAAAATATGTGTAGTGGCTTTTTGTCCAAAAACTGAAAAAAAAACTCATAACATCTTAAATTCAAGAGGATCAAGTCATGAAGTATATATCTAATAGTATTACACCAATTATTTTTTTTAATGAAATAACTACATAATAAGCACATCAATTTAAAATTTTTTTAATCAAGTACATTAATTTTTATTTTTTTCGTTTTAGTATATTAACTTTTTTCAAAAATATCGATCAAGTTTTTTTATCCAACTTTTCATCTAGTATTGATGTAACGAGTTAATTAAAAAAGACTAAATGATTATATTATTTTTCTTTTCTTTTTTACTTCTAAATTGTTATTATTGTTTAATTATTAATTAAAAAAGAAAGAAAAGCAACTTTTTTTAAAAAATTAAACTCATGTACTTGATTGAAAAAAAAATGATGTATTTAATTGAAAAAATATTTAAAATTAATATACTTATTATGTAGTTTTTTCATTTTTTAATGACAACATTTTATGTCTCTCTTTTTTAACTTCTTTGTTTCTTAATAATCCTTCCATAATATATGTAGAAAATGAACTTTATAATATTAATTTGAAATCGTATATATAAATACATACATACATAATTACACACACCATCTTATATGTATGCATGCATATAGCAATATAATTTACGGTAATATATTACTATTATTTACATGTTATATATTATAATCATATAGTATATAGTGTTAACTATATACCATATAATATAATAACAAAATAATTTTATCAGTTATAATATTATACTTAAAAATTCTTGATTATCATTTAAAATATATTTATAGTTAATATAAAATTTTAGTTTCATCTTTTTATTGATGTCAACATTACCAAATGCACATGCACATGCACATGCTAACAACATTTTTTTTTTAATAACCACAGCTAAAATCACGTAGGAAAAAAATACAGCTAAACTTCTAAGCCAGATACACAAATAAAAATCAATCGGGGAAAAATGCTGACATTGCATCAATTATAATAAAATCAGTGGTGCAATTGAAAATGTCAAGCAGTTGGAGACTCAAGTAAAATATATACAATAGTTGGACGGGTCAGATGTAGTTTACCTTCTAACTTTTATAATCCGAAGAGTTATATATGGTTTTGCTCTAAGGCTCAATTTTCCAGATCCCATATTTGGTTCCTAAGAAAAACCAGCGACGAAGTAAAAAAAGATCCTTTTTAACTCAAACAAACAGAAAAACAACAGAAAATGGAAGACAGTTCAAATCCCATATCACCAGCAACACCACGACACTCAAAAACAACACAAGAATTAGCAATGGAAGGCCAACAACATTTAGAAGAAACAATCCAAGCTGCTTACCAAATCCTCTCTTCTATGAATGATGAGCTATGCAACCCCACTTTATGGTCCACCACCTCTACAAATACGGTCACTTCACCTATTACTCCTAACAATACCCAAAACGGTGCTGTTGTTATTGCTGTCAATGGTGATGCTAATGCTGCTGTCTCTGATTCCACTCATGAATTGAGTGGTGGTGGCTCTGGTGGTGGTGCCGTGGGAAATGGGGCTCTTGATGGAGCTCGGTTTCAGTATAAGAAATCGGTTACTGCTCTTCGTGATGTTCTTGCTGCAATTCCTAATTCTCACAAGGTTTTATTTATTTATTTTGAGAAACCCTAAGCCTAGTTTTTCTTTTTTGGGAATTTTCTTATTTGTTGTTAAATTAGTTAGTACTTGATTAAAAGAGGTTTTTTTTTTTTCTTTTTGTGCTAATGTTCGGAGCTTTTTGTGTTTTTGATATAATGTTGCTAGAATTAGGTGAACAATTTTAATCTGATGTATTGAGATAGAATTTTGGGGGAAAAAATAAATAGTGATTGATTGAAAAGGAAAAAATGTTACCCTAAAAATTTGAGACCTTTTTGTATGATAATTGCAACTCTTTATTTACTTTCAAATTGTTAATCTGATGTCTATGATAATTTGGGCTGTCTTTGTAAATAGTGATTGATTAAAAAGGAAAAGCTGTCTGTGTAAATTGGCGATCAAGCTAATGGTGTGGTTTTTTCATTTTCCAACTTAGGCAAAACCTTTCGATACCAGTTCTCCAGTGGATCTGGCTGAGATAGAGAAGTTGAAAGAGCGAGCCTCTGACCTAAGAAAGGTAATATGCAGTGAATTCTGAATTCCTATTGGTTAATCGTTTTGTATAGGTTATGCCGTTCGCATTTTTGTGTCTTATAATGGTTGCAAAAGTACTGCTCGAAGCAGTTTATTTCATATAGTTATAATGGTTTCTGAGCTTCTTTGAAGTTTTGTGTGTTTGTTTTTTTCCCCATTATATCTGCATCAATTAGCTCTGAACTTGAATTCTTTTTATTGTAGGAACTTGCAAAGAAGAACACATATGTCAAACTTCTCATAGATCAATTACGAGAGCTTATTACTGACATATCTACATGGCAGACTCCTTGTTCTGTCTGAAGTTCATTAAGAAATCATTACTGTGAAAGGGGATGCTGGAGAATAGAGTACTGAGTTTTCGTGAGGTGATGGTGTCTGTCTTGACGTTTTCTTTCTTTGTGACATCCTGATATACATTAACTGTAGATCTTTAGAGCCAGATAGTAAGAAGGCAATTCTGGGTTGGCAGAAATTAGTAAATCTAAAGACTTATTGAACAAGAGAGCATTGCTTGTATATCTTGATATGTTTAACATTATGAATACTGTCTCCGTTGAAGGAAATTTTGGGTACAAACAACTTTGATTATTTTTTCATATTCACAATGAGATTCTCTGTTTGATCACTACATTCAGCGATTTCAGACCAATTGTTATTTGTAATTTGCGATGTCTGATTTTCTTGACTTTGAGCCTTTGAGTCCATAGGAAATTGTAGCTGCATCTCATGAATTAAGCAATTCCTCCGCCTATTAGCCTTACAAGATAAATATAATACCATCCCTGACATGTCTTTACCCAAATTTTACCAAGCTCTTAATTTGAAGTCATTTCATTTGGAGGTCATGCATGTTAAGGGTTCTCCCCAAACTGTAACAGAGTCACAATACGTATAGAGGTCAAACATTGTATAAAAGGCAAGGTGACCTTCCTAGAAGCTGGAAGGATTTATACAGATCAACTTAAATTCTGTCGTTCTGTGTAAGAGCCAGTTTATTGCCTAGTGTTTGAACAAACTCGTTACAAGTGAAATGCAAATTTCTTTGTCGGTGTCATTAATGGTTATTTAAAGAAAAATCTTTGACTTTTTGGCCGGAAATTTTGATTCTCTTATAACCAACTGATGTTAAAGAACGCCACCACATGTTATGCATGTAGGACAGGAAGGCCAGATATGGTTGCCTTGCGAATTTGCAATCCTTTTTCTCGCAAAAAATTTGACTACTCATTTGTGCCTGTCCTTGTTTGCTTCCCACCGTACCGTACAACTGGCGGACCAAACGAAATGAGGTCCCTTCTGCGTTTAGATGTGGGAATTGATCGTTGCATATATAATTCTGTATTTATCACCCACCAATTCTGGGCAAAAAAGGCTCATGTTTGGCTAGAAATTGTGCTTAGGCTGCAAGCTGAGTTGATGTTCAATAGGCATATTGTCTTCATCATCTCCTCCTCCACTATCTTGGCAATGTATATTTATGGGAGGGAAAAAAAAAAAAAAAAAAAAAGGTTTGCCCCTCTCATCCGTGTGAAATCTCTTCAATGGGTTCTCGAGTAGATTTGGTTTATGGAATAAATTTATGACAGATCTCCTTGCTGCTACTTGGTACTAACTGAAAGAACGGAAGAATGACATTTGCGGGAGTTTAATGCACGCCAAAAGTTGCCTACTTTCGTAGCTAGAAGTCATTTTCTTAGACAAGGATCTCAAGAGGTGTGCTTCTTTACGAACACAAGTAGCCTGTTTGATCATTTACGACAAATGACTGAGGCTTGTGCTTCACTCGATTGTTTGCTTCAAACGATTGGAAGTAACCAAAATGGTTCTGCAGGAGTACTTTCCTCCTGCTTTTATTGCACTCTACTTTCACCAATTAATGACAAATGAAGCTACACACGATTTTGAACAGATAAATAGAGGAAAAACCCAGATCATTAATTACTAATTGTGAACTGAAGATCTAGTAGTGAGTGATGATCTCATATCTACAATGGCGGATTCATCTGCTCCTAGATTTATAGCCTCTTTGCTTGCTCTAATGAACCTAGTAACAGCACCTTCTACATATTCATGAGCTTCTTTTACGTTCATTTTCTTGCTCATCTCATGTGGGAAACTGCTCAAGAAGTGGTCACCGTTAAGAACAGCAGCTAGCTGAACTACCTCACTCTGGAATTCGGATAATGAACTATCTTCTTTCGCTTCTGTTCTTCTCAAAGGTGTTACATCCGGCAAGGTCACTGCAATGAATTTGAATAGGAGCACTTAGAAAACAGTCTATCTCTACCTTGTGATTTTATACAAGATTAAAGAAATTAACAATCTATCAATCGCTACTAAATCTGAGTCATTTATTGCATGGATAAGACTAATACCTGGGCAGTCAGTTCTGGGAGAGGTTAACTCCCCAACAACTCCTTCAAATGTGCCAGCCCAAGCATCTCTGTGGGTCAAGAAGTTAGAGGAGAGGTTGAACATTTTCTTTATAGTTGCAGGAATTGAAGAGTGCTCAAACTCTGAGTTTGGAGCAGGTCCCTTTGGGCCACTTATCACTGAAAAAGAAACAATTAATTATATCAATTCAGTAGAAAATGAAAGTGGGAGAATGAAACAACAGAACATAACTTTCATGCTTCAAAAGTCAAAAGTGTTTGGTAACAAAGCATCTAATGACATTAGGTACCAACCAAACTTCACATGTAAGAAAAACTTAAGCTTACCAGTGCCTTTCTTGATCCAAGGAGAGATCATAATCGTCGGCACACGAACACCAAGCCTATCAAACTTAAAGAAAGAAGGGGCAGGGCCAGTGTTCCCATCTGGGCTAGGAACATTAACATAAGGAGTCTTAACATGGTCATAAAATCCACCATGTTCATCATAAGTAATGACCAAGAGGGTCTGATTCCATTGAGGACTAGCTCTCAATGCCTCATAAACCTCCTTAACAAGCTTTTGACCATTAGCAACATCATGAGATGGGTGATCATCATTTGCAGGCATTTTTTTAAGATCAAAATACCTTGGTTCAATCACAGTTAAGGTTGGCAACTTCCCATCTCTAGCATCTTTCTTGAACTTCAAATCAAACTGATGAAACTTAGAAATATACTTCAATTTCCTCAGGTTCCTATAGAACAAAGTGTTCGGAATGTTTTGAAAGTAAATCCCAAAGTTCTTACCATTCTCATGAAGCGAATCAAAAATTGTCTTTTGAGGGTACCCTTTAGCCAATTGCTTCTTAACATGGCTTGTTGAGCCATGAGAAGTAGCAGAATACACAAACAGCCTATTGGGTTGTGTTGGACCAGGAAGTGAGGAAAACCACCTATCAAAGACTGCAAATTCTTTTACAAGTGTGGCATAAACAGGCACAGCTTCAGGACTAAAGCCTTTCATGACAGTTTCAGAGAGGTTTTGCGACATGCTGAGAGCTTGTTCAACAAAACCAGTCATTGAAGGAATAGAGCTATTTCCAAATACCTGTTGCTCCACAGCATCAAAAGAGTGTCCAGGGTCTGGATCCACAAACTCAGCATCATCCGAGAAACAAATGGATCGCTGGCCTGGATTAATGGTCGATACAGGATTGCATTCTTTTCCAGTGACACCATTGATTGCTGGATTAACAGATTTCTTCATCCAACCAATCATATGATCAAAAGATCTGTTTTCCATCACCAAAACCACAATGGTCTTGATGGGGTTTGGTTGTTGGGCTGTAGAAACACATGAAAGTGCAAGAAACAGCAAGAAAATGGAGGAAAATGAAGGCGGTTTAGTTCTGAAGCTTCCCATTGTTGTTTTCTTTTGCCAGGAGATGAGCATCTTGGCCGAAAAAGCGTTTGCTTGGTTTTGGCTTCTAAGGTTATCTTCTTTCTTGTTTTTATAATCAAATCAAAGAAATCAAAGAGGAACCACTATTGCCTATCGCCAATGTGAAGTAAAGTAGATTTGGTATCTGATACAGTCGTTGCTTTGTTGATATTTTTGAGTCAGAACGAGAGGGAGAAGGAATTTTCACCGTGCTACTTTTGGCCCAGAGAGAATAAAGAAGCTTCTGGCTTTTTCTATGTCTATGCTTTTGCTTTGGTAATAAAGGGAAAATGACATTTGTCTGTTCAGTATATTTATCAGTGTCGCAATTCTACTTCTTTTTTCTTTTGATTAAACATGGTCAAATGTATCCAAATCTTTAGCAGATTCAGTTTCATGTGATTTTATAAAATTGCAGACTGACCAAAACGAAGAGAAGTCTGGTATGGTTTATGATTATTATTTGAATTTATTAGGTGAATGGAAAGAATGGTAAATAATAATAGTAATAAATCTTAAGAATGGTATCTTTAATTCTCTTTTTGTGTTTTTTCAGAGAGCACATTCTTTTCTTCGAAAAATTAATTGATGATACAAACAAAATTTCAGAACATAGTTAGTTAGGTGGCACTCAGAAAAGGTATACCAAAGCAATTGGGAAATGTGTTGTGTATATATGTTATAAAATTTAAAGTATAGTTATTTATCAATCAATAAGAGTATGCGATCATTCTTTTTTTTATTTTTTTCCTTAAAAAAAAAATTGAAAAAAGTCAGTATCGTAGTAGTTACATGTGGATGAAATCAATGAGGGGACATTCATGTATTATCAGAAATTATTTTAACAATCAGGGTAAATTGGATTTGAATCAAGAAAAGAAAGTAATTGAGGAGAAGATCCAAATAAAGATGTCACGTAAATGTCATGTAAAGAAGGGGCAATAATGATAATGTGCTGCTTTTGCCTGAGAAAAAAGGTTCAATCTTTTATTATCTGTGCGTCTGCTTTAAGGGCTTCCACTAGCGAGTGGTGAGTGACACGAAAGAAATAGTGAAAGAATTGATGCGGACACCATGAGATTGAGGGTTAAAAAATAATAGGATAGGGCTTCCACTATTAATCAACTATGTCTCATGAAATTATAATGCCATTCTCATTGACACTAATTATGCCATTTTTAGATTTCAGGAATTTTAGACTACAAGTCCATTGATGATTTCACATATATATATATAAAGAGTTGAATAGTCTATGAGCGGTAATTTTACTAATATTTATATATTTTTTTCATGTTTAAATTTTTCATTCGTGATCAAATATGTGTTTGATCTAACCATAAGGAGTCAATTAATTAATAGTAAGAGTTTTGAATTTTCAACAAAAAAATATTAAAATTCGAATCTCATTTTTCACATCTTCTTGTAGCTATTATAAAAGTTTCGACATGTTTTTCTAGTTTAAAAAATATAAAGAGTTTGAACTTTTCGATTTGAAATCAATTTATACGGATGAATCTAATAAACTATGTTTGATTAAATTTCTAATGTCATTCTCACACGAATTGTGTCATTTTTAGATTTCATGAATTTTAGACCACAAGTCCATTAATGATTTCACATATATAAAGAATTGAGTAGTTGATGAATGATAATTTTACTAATATTTACATTTCTTTTTGTGTTCAAATTTTTAACTCGTAATTAAATATGTGTGTGATCTAGTCATAAGGAGCAAACTAGCGATAAGAGTTTTGAATTTTCAACTAGAAGATGCAACTCGAATATCACCCTTCATATCTTCTTAGTTATTATAAAATTTTGACATGTTTTTCTAACTCAAAAATATAAAGTTTGAAATTTTCGATTTGAAATCAATTTATACCCATAAAAAATAGTTGGCGAGTGGTTAGTCTTGGCTTAAAAAATGTGTTTGATCTTATTCTTGTAAAGGCTTCGTTAAAACAAGAAAGATCCAAAGACTATTGAATGATATATCAAAGACTATTGATAGAAAAACTTAGCTTGATGTACAGAAAATTGAGCAAAGAATATAACGAACGCTAAAACCTAAAGAATTTCTTAAATATACAATGTTGCTGCAATAAAATATCATCATCACAAACTTCATACACGGTTCAGGCTGATATTTATCAAGCTCGCTAAAACACAAAACAAAGAAATGTGCTTGTATTCCATAATGAAGATTTGATGCCACGTCCCATGTGATAATAAATAAAGAATTGGTAAGTGGACTGGTGTGTGAAAGTGAGAGTTCTTTTGTCGCAAATTTCTTCTTCCCATAATCAGTGGGGATCCATCCACTCATCACCAATTTAATAATATCTTAATTTTTAGGCTTCTTTATCTTTTCAATAAAAAAAGGGCCAGAAGCAGAGAGGGAAGTTTTGGGATGTGTGTGTGTGTGCTTTTCTCAACTTAAACACTAAGCTAAGAGAGTGCAAGGGGCAACTCTTACTGTTTGGTCAAAAACGAATTGGGGAACAAAAAGTCAAAAAATTCCACCATGTTGCCCCCACACACCGACCATGAAAATTCTGGCATGGAGAGGGGAGTAGGAATGGCAACGCCTCTGCCCCGCACCTGAAAATTTTACCCTATTTTTATCCCTTTCGCACATGGTAATATTTCTTATATCATTCCTATCTCAAATAGGAATGGAAATCCCCATAAGGCATTAGTGTCTTTTTTAATTTTTTGTTTCCATTCAATTTTGCTTCATTGTATTATCAAATTTTAAACTATAATAAAATAAAAAAATAATTCATATAAAAAATATAAAAATTTGTAGTCATAAATTTTATGTGAAGTATAATTATAATTTTAGAGATAAAGTAAGACAAATGAGATAGGATGGCCAAATATCATTCATGTTCCATCTCCGTTCAGAATTAATACGAACGGGACATCCTATCTCGTTTCTCAATTAATTCAAAAAATTCATGTGTTGATCGAAGCGAGGGGGACGAGGCTCTGTCGAGACAGGGGAAATTGCCAATCCTTATTGGGGAGAGCCAAATGGCTCTGATAGCCCTAGCTATTGCAGTGGATTTTAACCCACAACACGGCATGGTTCATGCATTCCTGCTAATTCCACAATTCCATAGTCATTCCACCATGTTCATTAGTGGTAACAAGCAAAGCAACTGTGATTGGATTGCCAAAAAGAGGAACAAGTGATGCTTTGGAGCTCCTAATTAAAATAAACATCACGCATCCCAGCTAATTTGAATGAAGATATGCTACTGATATTAGCTTGGAGATGACACCATAAAGAAAAAACAAGAGGTGCAAGAAAGAATGTCTCAGAGCAAATGCTTCAAAGCTGTGCGCAAATCTAGATGCGTAATAATATATATTGGAAAATCTTTGGCATTTAACATATGGATAATGCGCAAATCGTCAAGAAACTAGCAGAACATTTAGCATTAAACTGTGCTTTCTTAAAGATTAATGCAATTGGCATGCACCTCTTCCCTCCGACTGGAAATGAATTCAATTGATAGAAGTTCCACACAACACTGAAGATTAACATGACATTGTTCGGCATCAAGGCAATCAAAAGCATCTTCCATATTCTTGCTCTTCTTTTTTATTCATTTCTAGTTTCCACCACCATTGAGTCCTTCTAGGCACCATTTACTGCGTCGATTACGATGATTGAGTTACCACCAAAAGCATCTCCCACCAAGACTTCTTTCCTCTGAAATCAACCGATTTGACTGCTAAAAAAATTGAATGTGATTCATGTGCTCGGGGACCTAACTGTGCATATATATAAAAATTTTAGTCTGTTCATTATATGTATATAATGACATGAAAATTTTCTGTAAGCCATAGAATGTACAATATTGAATAACTGGAGATATGGCCTGTTCTATTCAGTTTAAAAATCAGGGATGGGTACAACATCATTCAACAAAAAATTTCCACACATGGGAAAAATAATCCCATGGTTTACACCCAAATCATATATGTGTTCTAGTTAATTTTGAGAATGCATGTCCATCGATTATGATTGCACAACTTTTATAAACTAGGGATCAAAATATTTTTATGAAAACTTTGGAAACCAGAAAACTTATAAGTAAAAGGTCAAATTATAAATAAAAAATAAAAAATCAAGGATCAGAATAATTTTTTTAAATAAAACTATAAGGTCTAAAATGAAATATTTTGACAAATTATTTTTAACTTATATTAAATCGACGAGTAAATCAGATAAGGATCAATATAGTATACTTTTAAAGAGATGTTTTAAGGGGTATGGATATAGTATTTTCTTTTTTTTTTTTTTTTTTAAATAAATAGAGTTAGAGATTGAATTAATAGGTGAAATACTCGACCATTGCATTTTTTAGCTAAACAGATGGAAAATTATTGGTATCCATATATAAAATTGATAAGGATCAAGTATGTGTTTAAATAGTGATATCTTAATGGGTATATATATATATATATATATATATATATATATATATAGAGAGAGAGAGAGAGAGAGAGAGAGAGAGAGAGAGAGAGAGATTGAATTTAAAAATTTCTAGTTAAACAGCTGAAAAATTATTGTTATCCACATATAAAATTAATACCGTACCATATTTGGATTCGAAAACATCAAGTACAACAAATTACAAATTTGAATAGGAGGCGAATATATATATATATGAAAAAAAAATTATCATTTATACAAAACTTACATGGTTGCATAGATAGGTGTGTAATTATTTAGAGAGTGAGAAGAAGACTTTGCCATTAGTTGTGCCTGATTGTTTTGCTTGGATTCAATTTCAACATCGAAACTAGTAGAAAAAAACAAGGTATGCAATTTAATCACAATCTTGTATATTTCTATAAAATTTTTATTATATATGTGTTCTATTTAATTTTGGAGAATGCATGTCCATTCATTATGATTGCACAATACTTTATACAATAGAGCCCAAAATGCTTTTATGAAAATTTTG